TTTGGCGATGGTAGGGCTCAGCAACGCTTAAATATCCGGTGGTAGGGCTCAGGTTACCGAGGCCTGTGGGGTGGTAGGGCTTGTGAAAGGATTCAGTTGACGATGCGCTAACACCGGTGGTAGGGCTGAAAGGTCGGGTGGTAGGGCTGAGCCCCCCCTGGCCCTACCTTGGTTACGCCACTAATCAATAGCGTCTGAAAGTTTCACAAAACCTAGATGAAACAGAGATGGTAAAATATAGAATGGTCCCCATGTCCTTTGAATCGGCTATAAATTGCCGATTAATCTCGATTCATCGAAACGATAATCGTGAGCTGAATTGCCGATTATTTCAGCGATTTTTACGATAAATCGTGATTTTATGCAAGATTTAACCGTCTGTTTACTGATATTGTCTACTATTTCATTGGTTCTTTTGGAGACACATATTTGGATTTTTTCTTGAATTTAATTCAATTTTTTTTGTTCTCAAGATCCAAGCCGATCAGATGGTGCGATCTGTCTGATCTCGAGCTGGTCCTATTCTTATCAGACCGCTTCAGTGTAGTTCTCTCCAGATCATGGATCAGGATTGGCATTTCCTTGATTAATAATAACCAAGAAATAATTTATCAGAAAAGTATATTTCGAAAACTTATTTGTTATGCATTGAACGGCGTTGTTTATATATCCGTGTGTGCTCATAACAAAACGGTGAATGAATAATTGTCATGATTTATCAATGATTTTTGAAAATCAGCTCTTCTCCCGTAATCGTGATAAGATCTGATATAATCGTCGATCTTTTAAAGAAATACGATAAATCACGATTTTACGCCAATTTTTTAGAAAATCGCGGTGATTCTCACGACATGGGTCACTACAAAGTTTTCAGAAAACCAAACTTTTAGCTTTCTAGTACCTACAACTCGAGCATTAAATTTTTCTCATATCATATCAAATAATATAGTAAATCATTCTTTACAAAAAGGAGACGTCACTGAGATCTCTAGAACTTTTCTTCGTCGAACTGTATCATATTTACATATCGATATATCAGAGAGACTAATAATCTATTTTAATGTTTATTTTTTCATTGATGACTCTTCTGAAGTCGCTATCAGAAAGTACAATGGTGATAGAGAAAAAAAGCAAAGTTACATACTTCAATAGCAAAATTACTTCTTGGATTATACATATCTGGCATTGACAACCAAGTATTTGTTTTTGGATTATATCTTTCACCGGAATTCATTCGTGTTGATCCATTAAAGCCACCTCTAGAAAAAAAAAGAATCTAATTTAATATATACATATATATTCAAAAATATTATATTGCTCAAACATTGCATAAATTGAATTATGAAATGCAATAACACCAATACCCGATCGTCGATTTCGCATCGGTGCAATCATCGTCCATTGATTCGTTTTTGGATCAAAATATTCTGCACTATTCATACATTCTTGTCCATTAAATCCACCACAAATATATATTCTATCTGTCTTAAATTTAATAATAAATATTTCTTTAATTAAACAAATACAAACTTTGAAGAACAGTTGCAGATGCATCTTTAGATACAAGACAAAAAATAAAATAGAAAACTTTTTTTTTGTTTTTTTTTTATAAACAATAAACCTGATCGTTGAGCATGCATTGGTGGAATAGGAAGCCATTGATTAGTATTTGGTGAATATCTTTCAGCTGTACTTTGTCGTGAATGACCATCAAAACCTCCCTTAAATTCTTTTTTTTTTCTCTCATAAGATAAATTATGATATTGAAATTTACCATTGCATAAATTAAACCATCAAGTACAGTTACACTCACATAGCATCTTTAACAGAAAACAAAAAAGGATTTAATTAATTTTTGAACAAATCAATTACCGTTTAACATTCATTGGTGCAATTTCATTCCATTGTAAAATTTTTAAATCAAAAATTCGACATGAATTAAAATATTCCATTCCATCAAAACCACCAATAACATAAATAAAGTTATTAATTGTTACTATGCCATGATATGCACGAGGAACTAGAGAAGAAAAAAAAAAAAAGAAGTTCTTTACTTAATTTCTTTTTTTTTTAGTATTATAAATAAAACCTACATCGATCATTAAATGGTAATTGAAACCATTTATCAGCACGAGTCTAAACAATATTAACATTCTATCTAATTATTTGAAATCTCTCGAAACTAAATCTTACATCATATAATTCGATTACTGATGTTGGACTTCCACCTGACCATCCACCACATACAAAAATAATTTCATGTGGAATACGTGGTCTAGCTATCGGATTTTGTACTAATAAATCCTTTAAATATATAAATATATATCAAAAAAGTTTTTTTTTTTTATTAATTGAAAAACAAAACAAACTTGATAAGTATCAACATCAAGTTCATATAAATATTTTAATGTATCGATAACTAATGGTTTACAAGTTTCATTATTAATAATATACGGATGACATTTAACTTTTTCAATAAAGAAATTCGTTGTTAATAAACCCAAACGAACACATTTGAGTAAATCGACAATATTCTTATAGAAAAATATTATTCAATAAGTATAAGAAAGTATTTCTCACTCAGTAGAGTATTTCTTTTTTTTCTCAATAATGAGAGACAAATGATAACAAAAATAGAGATTAAACATCCTCTCAATATACTAATTCTCGGAAAATATCTTAATGTTTTCTTTCGTATAGAGACGCACGTAGACATGTAAAGCGATATTTGAAATTTCTTAATGACTTTTTTTTTCTTAAAAATCACATAACTATTTTTATGACGTACTAGTAACAACTGGAAGCATTCATTTCATACAAGAAATTTTTTTTTTTTTATTATATCAAAATTAATCTAAGAGAATACTTCGTATCTTCTAAACACAAATACGCTTTCTCGGTCATCATAACCCTTGTCGGAAGTGATTAAGGATAGGTTATAAATAGCACTTCGTTGCAATTATTCAAATAGTTGCACTTCGATACGCCCGAATGAAGTGTTTTTTATTATTCTCACTAGAAAAAATTTCATCGATTGTCACGTAAGAAAAATACTTTATAGATAGTTTTCAGTTGCCATCGCAGAAAGTAAGAACGATCCATATTTATGCATACAGAGCAATTTCCTACAGCTAGTCAATTTCAATGCTGAAAATTTTGCTTCGTGCATACAAAACATCCTATAGCCCTGTGAGTGCCAAGTTTAAAAATTTGCTCTATATGCATTAAAAGGTATCATTTTTTTTTGTAATAGAAAAAAAAAGCATTTTGAAATTTCTAACTTTTAAATAAACTATTGTAGCTTGCAAGTCATTTTTCAAACTATCTTACTCTGAATGATAAATAAAAAAAAATATCTTTGATTATTTTTTTTTTTTCATACTTTTTTTCTTTCATCAACTTTATAATCAATCCATCGTATAACAGCATCAAAAACTGCTTCTTCACTTTTAATATTTAATTCATCAGAATTGAGTATATCAATTATTTGTTCAAGATTTAATTCAAGAAATTCTTGACTTTTTATTGATATTTCAGTAAAATTAGTTCTATAGAATTTTTTGTTTTATTCTTACTTGAAAAAAACAAAAAAATTCATTTACATACAATAAATAAATTTCAGTTTGTTCACAAAGTTTTTTACAATCTAAAATAGAATAATTTGAATTTTTTTTTTTTTTTTTTAATCAAAACAAATTAACTTACAAAAAAATGATGCAAATTCTCGTATACCTAAGATATTTTCAGGATTAAGTTTTTCATATAAATAATTTTCACATAAAGAAAATAATTCTAATACTTGTAATTGATTAGCAGCTGATAAAATTTCATATATATTATTATCATTAAATTTTATTTCACGTGTATATACATAATCAATAATTAAATTCATTATATCACCATTAATATCATGAATATCAACAATTTGATCTGTTGTTTCATTCATTCCATTTGTAAAAAGTGCTCGAAAAAATGAACTACATGCTTTACAAAAAAAGAAAAACTGTTTTACATTCAAAATAAAATTTAAAAAAAAACTCATCTTACAACAAAGTATAGCTCGATGAACTTTAAACAAATGTTGATCATCAGTACGTAAAATAACATCACAATATTCACCAGAATTTCGTAATTCCGAAAGAACATCACATGTTAGTGGACTATACTTTCGAATTAATGTTGTTTTTTCAATATTTTCTGTTGTATGTAATGACATGTATTATAATATTTAATATTTAAAAAGTAATATCAGCAGCAAATCGAAATCGCTGGTTAAATAGACTTTTTTTTCGAAACGAATGATATTATTAGATTTATTTTGTTTTTCGCGGCGAATGTTTTTTAATTTTTATTCGTAGAAAAAGAAAAAAAATATATAGTAAGCTACAGATATTTAATATCAATGATGAATTAGTTTTTATAATTATTGTATCAATTGTAAACATTTGAATTTGACTGTCAATCACTTGAGATATGCATATAACGAAGAGGACAAAAGATCTTTATTAATTTTATTTTCAATATAATGTGATAATAAACCTTCGTAGACACTCGATAGTTTTCTTCTTAGAAAGAACAAAATCTTCATTATAAAGTTGTGTAAAAAATATTTTGCCGAAGGGTGAAAAATGTCTTGCATGTGACTTTTGAAATATTTCGTCACATTAAATATAAAGGTTAACAATATGATACGGACTTTCTAATAGTATGAAAATATTTGAGTGACAAAACTATAGGTTTCATAAGAAACAGTTCTATTAGATATTGGATTTTTCTCTCTATATTCGATATATTGTTCTTTCTGAAAAGAAAATTATTAAATTTTCATCATGAATTGTTATCAGGCTATATGAAAAACAAAAAGTTATGAAGAACTTTTTCACTATCCATTAAAGTAAAAAATATTCTCCTCTATTCTCTTTTGAGAGGAGATTATATTGTGATTGACAGAAAAAGAAAGAAAAAAAAAAGTATAAATCAAAGTCAATAGTTCATATTTATTAGGATTTGTTTCGACGAAATGTATTTTTTATCGAGTTCTTTAATTTGCCACCAAATGATGATTTTCCAGAATCTCCTAATTTAAAAAATTCATTCGTACCTAAATCTAATTTGAATTTATAAAATTAATTGTTTTTACAAAAAAAAAAAAAAATAATAATTTTCTTACTAGGTGATTGAGGAGGTCCATATGTATTATAATTATCATCAATTGGTCGTTGTTGAATTAATTGAGCATTTCTTTGCGGTGTAGTGGATGTTGTTCGAAGATTATTTGATCGAGTATTTGTTTGTGATGTAGTCGGTGTTGTTTGAAGATTATTTGTTCGAGTATTTGTTTGTGATGTAGCGGGTGTTGTTCGAAGATTATTTGTTCGAGTATTTGTCTGTGATGTAGCTGGTGTTGTTCGAATATTTGATGAAGGTTTTGGTTCTTCTTCTTCTTCATCATCATCATCATCACTATCAGTGTATGTATCTGAGTCAGATTCATCTGATGTACTTGCTTCAACCTCATATTTATTTGCTTGAATTTGAGCTGCATTAGATGCAGTTTGATTTGGTAATGTTGGACGAGTGATGTCATTACGTTGTGCTGCTGAAGTTCCAGTTGTAATTGAGTTAGAAACTGTTCCATTAACAGGTTGAGAAGACGGTTGTTTTGATGTATTTTTTTCAGATTCATCTTCCGATTCCGATGATGATTCAGATGAAGTTTCTGATTCCGTTGGTTTTTCTTTTTTTGTTGTTGATTCTTCTTCTTCACCTGAACTTGTCGTTTTTTGTGTAGATGCTTTTGGAACAACAGCAGCAGGTGAAACTGAACAATATTCATATAAAAATTCTTAATTTATCTGTTTATGAAAGATGTATTCAGATATGCCATAAATTAAAACTTAAATCATTACTCATAGGATTCAAACCAGCATCTACCAGAGATGTCCATCGCGGTTGAAAACTGACCGCTGCCGCGCCGCGAAGATAAAGGAAAGAAGCTAACGCGCCACTACCGCACCGCGGTGATAAAAACAGAAAACCTACCGCGACGCTACCGCGATGATTGTTAGAATAATGTTGTGAATTTTACGATCTGTGACTGTTCAGGACTAAAGCTGTTGTTACCAATCGATAAGATTCGTTGAATCTCATAGTTTTGCACTTGCAAACATTGAAATTCTGTTCGAATTCATGCATTTTTGCATTGTTCTCCAAAAAAACCTACCGCTACCGCGCCGCTGCCGCGATAGTTAGTTAAAAAAACGGCCGCTGCCGCGCCGCACCGCGATGGTTATTGGAAAAAAAAACTGCTACCGCGCCGCGATGGACATCTCTGGCATCTACATTGTCCCTCTCTCGAAATATTCGATATTCAAAAAAGCAGTGGTTTACGATAGTAGAACATAATAATCGAAACTCTTTGCTTTGACTTTTTGGAAAATGTTTTGTTTACAAGAATAATTTTATTAAAACAATCATCGCACTCTTTATCAACAAGCTATGAATTCGAATTCTTTTAAGATTGTTTTAGGTCCTACAGAGACCTACTCATAAACATAACATAAAGTCAAACAACATTCAACAGTTGAATATATTCTCTCATTAGAATTCATAAAATAAATAATTTCCAAGTTTTACTTAATGATTTACTTACGTTCGGTTTTATGTTGTTTATTAATTTTGTTCGAAGTTTCTACAGTATCTAAATTATAAAACTAATTAAAAAATTTTATTGATTTTTTTTTTCGTGTTTTTCATACGAATAGGAGATGATGCTTGATCATGATATCGTCTTCGATATTTTCTTGGTATTGATGAATGTTGATTATCATTATGTCGATATTGTGAAGGTTTTCTTATATATGGATTAGAATCATTCATATCAATAATATCATAATGACTTGATGGTACTTTTTGACGATAGAGATCATTAGTTCGTCTTGTATAATCTTCAATAAATCATAAATCAATTTAAAGAAAAACTAATGAATAACAAAAAAAAATAGCAAAATAAACCTCTTCGAGAAGTAGTTGGTGTTATATAACCAATATCAGCAAAATTTTGATTCGTTTCAATATATTCTATACTTGATACATATGGTCGTACATTATCCATATAATCTTGTTGAATACGATGAATTAAATTTCCTAGTTCAAATGGTTGTATACTATTCGTATTAATATAATTTTTCATAGGTATTTGTTCAGAAAAATATCCTTGTGTTGAATTCACAAACATTTCTTCTAATGGATCTTTTATTGGTTGAAAATAATTTGATGATTGATAAGGAATATTATTAGATTGTTGTTGATAATCTGATGTTTTATTTTGTTTATTATATAAATCAAGATAAGGATCATCATAAGCCTTATCATCAAGTATATATGATTCACCGGATATTATTATTCGAGTTGGACTTATTCTATTATGTCGTTGTTTTTGTGGAATGTCATATCGATGTTTATCATGAGTAGTCAATGGTCGACGATTTGATGGTGATAAATGTTGATGATGACCGTGTGATCGTGAAACTGATGAATAATGACGTGAATCATGTGATGATGATTGTTCATGTTGTTTTCTACCATTAATTTGAACAGGTTGTTGACGATTATTCAGTGTTCTTTGTGAAGTAGAACTAATTGAAAAAAAAAAACACAAAGAAAAGAGGTTTTATTTTTTTCTGATTATTATTTGAATACAAAAAACAAAATTATTTATACTAAGATGTATCTTGTTGTGGACGTCGATCAACATTTGTTTTAGTTGATTGATAGTTTCGATCATAATGAACAACATTTGATTTTGTTGATCTATTATTATGTGGTGGTGGTAATCGTTGTTCATGTTGATTTGATAAATTAGAATTTTTAATTGTTGATGAATTTGTTATTTGTGAACCAAACAAACGTGCACGTTCCGCTACACTTACTCCACCAGTTGGTATTACTAAAACAAAATAAAAATAAAAATATTATTATTAAAGTTAATTATTATTACCAGCTCGTTTCCTTGTAGTTGGTGTATCGTTACCAGAATCATAGATAACAGTTCCAGATACTGGTAATTTATTTGAACTACTATTAGCCATTTTTTATTCTATCATGAATAAATAAATAGTGTGAATGAAAAAAAAAAAAAAAAACTTGTTGATGTTGTATTAAGATGCGAACAAGTAAAAAGAAAGAAAAGTGTATAAAGAAGGTAATGCAGATCAATCAAGCATGACTTTTATACAGCCTTCAGTTTGAACTGATACATGCGCTTGTACTTCCTCTGTGTATTTTATGATGAAGAACGAATATTTTTTTTTTGTGTATGTATGTAATATGAATATAAAAAAGGGAGAACAAAATGTGATAAAAAATGTCGTGATTGATCATAAGATTGTATCGCAATCTTTTCCGTAATAAAAAGTTATATATTAATTATAAATTATTTTGTTTTAACTTATTGCTATTCTACTATGGAAATATTATTTCAGATATTAATAAAGAATAAGATCGTAAATCTGCTACCCCTTTAGATCTTACTTTGATTAGAATAGAAAAATAGACCATGATATATCGAATATTTCTGTAGATTTAACTTTTGTCTTATTGAATGCATAGAAGAAGAAAAAAAAATTCAGGACTAAATAATCTTAGGAAGTCTATCATTTTGAGACTTTTTGAACAATAACTATGATAACCATATTGTTTCTATTATAAACTCAATATGTAAATTAGTAGAGTAGATCAACAGAGATTGATATAATTCTTATATCAATTTTTATACTTTTGTATTTAACTATTTGAAGATTCATTCTCATTGAAAAGTCGTCAGAAAATAATCATTTCGAGAATATTATAAAACTTAATGTTGATCATTTTTCTATTGAATCTGAGTCTAATATCAACTGCAGAGTAAAATGAATATTTTATATCATATAGATTTCAGGAAAAATAATTTTTTAAGACGGATGAACTCCGAAGAGACTACAAGTGATATTTGAGAAAAACCTTGGTGAGAAGAACGACATCGATTTATCCTATAAAAATCTCAAGTTGATATTAGCTTATGATTCAATAGGAAAACGAATAATACTGACATTGATTGTGAGACGCCGCAATTTTTAAGCGTCAAGATTTTTAGCATCAATTTGCTTGTTACATACGAAATTATGAAAATTCGTCTACATGACATGATAATCGTATCTGTCTGACTTTGCTTAATCTAATTGATGAATATGATCGATATATAATTTTGTAGAGTATCAAAAACTATATTGATCTACATTTATGTTTCATATTGCATGTCTATTAGAAAAATTACGGGTACCATAGTTACGATTCGAAATGTCTAAAAGTGATAAAAACCCAAAGAATTATTAGTTTATATGCTTCATATTATTGTTTTTTCTTATAAAAACTTTGTCAAGATTTTTCAATGGTTGCATTATTGTAACTATATTAGTTTGTGTTCTTTCAAACCGTTATTAACACTGTTTTCAATTTCAAATGATAATTAATTACAGTAGATGAATAATTCTTTCTGTCATATATTATTACATGTTGAATTATAGAACTGCTCTCAACTGTATGCAGTCACAAATAGAGGTTTTTTCAATGTAAGAACTTAATGTTCGAAGTTGCAATATTTTAAAAAAATAAAAAATAACTTAAAATTGAAAATATTTCAATTTTTCATCATTCATATTATTTTGTATGTTTTTCATGTTTGAGATAAAACTAATTTTATATATACATTCATTAATAAAAAATAATAGATATCGAACATTATAAGTCACAAATCTCTCCTTATTTCGATAAGATTCTTTTTTGAAATACTATTTCGAATGATTTCAGCATAGAATCTGTTTCATTTAATACTTTTACATAGCAATGGTGTTAATTTTTAGTAAGCTTATTGTTCAATATTTATAAAGTTTCTAAAGATTTATTTTGTTTGTTTTCAACTTTGCTTTCATAGATCCAATAAAAACAAAACAATAAGTCATGGATAGAATTTCTGCCTGATATTCAAGTCTTCGTTCAGATTTCTAGTCCAAGCAATTTATTTCTAATTTTAATTTGATCTTTTAAAATGACATAAGAATTAGCTATTAATATTTTTGAGTTTAACTCGAAATTAGTTATGTAAATGTTTTAATTTTATTTGTCAAATTATATTGAGATTTTTTTTATATGTTAGATTTCTTGATGATAATTTTTGACTTTTTTTTTCAAAAATTAATTAACAACTTTTTATTACAAATATGTCATCTATAATATTCTTGTTACGAAAAAATTGTATATCAATGACAAGTATTTCATATTTTTATTGGATAAATTTTATTTTTAATTTCAAGCAAAGAAACATTAAAGAAAGCATTCTTCTCATCACTGACAGCATTCCTTTTAACATAATAAGTAGAGAAAAGCAATATACATTAAACAATATGAAATGTTCGTAGAACATGCATTCGAAGTCTATTAATTGCAATATAAAATTCTTTTTTGTATGAACTTGAAGGTATAACGAATACGATGAATGTAAGAGATGGTGGAATAAATGAAATAAAGTAACTAGCAAGATAAAACGATGGATTTCGAATCGATTTCATACAACCAGCTGTGAATGAAATTATCAAACGAGGTGTAGCAAGTAAAACTAAAAATATTGAACTGATAAGTAAATGTTTGTGTAAACGAAATTGTTTTTTTAAATGATCTCGATAAGTTTCTTGTTTTCGAGCTTTAAAACTTTTTCGAGCAGCAAAAACAATAATAATTATTGATGTAAGAATATTTATCAAAAATGGAATAAAAAAATGAATTATAATTATTACTGAATTATATATTTCAAGTGAAGATGAATATTGAACTAAACACCATCGTCTTTGTTCCGCTTCATCATAAATTAGTTGACGATTTATTGGATCATGTAGAATACTAAGAACATTAACTAAAAAAATACCAATAATAACCCATCGAACTGCTCGTTTACTTTTGTTCTTATCAAATTTCGTACTCATTATTACTGTTAGTGCTCTATCAATGGCAACACTTGCATTGAGGCAATCGACAATTATTGGACATAATCGAAGTAAAAAATCAGTTGATATACAAGATATTTGTAGAATCATTTCATTTTTTATAAACGATATTTGTGAAAGAATTAACATCAAGAATTTAATTGAAAATATAATTGTTGTACATAATGAAACGATTGATGTAGTTAAGAGATAATATCTACAACCTGATTCATTTGATTGTTTTCTTTGAAATGTCATTATTGAAAAAGAACTATTGATAAGACCAATGACTAATATAATCGTAGTTAAAGCAATACTAATTATTACAATAATTGGTTGACGATTAATTGGTAAATTTGGTCGAATTTGATAACCAAATATGGCATCAAGTGAAAGTCCAAAACCTTTTGTAGTAAATTGACATTTACTTCCATAAAAACAATCTTTACAAACACAAAATATTGAACGCAAACAATTTGAACTATCTGTAAAACATTGACCATTATTTTGGCAATCGCCCAGTCCTTTACAAGTATACGTTGGTTTGAAGTCAAATGAAAAACAATTTGCGTATTGTTCATCATTGCATAAACATATAAATTGTTCATTATCATGAAACCATTTTAATTGAGATAGATTTTTACAAAGTAAATGATAATATTTAACACGACCTAACAAGGGATATGATAATATTGTTTTATTATGAAATAATTCTTGAATATGTGGACATCGTTGTTCTAGATTAATTTCAATTTTAGTTATCAATGAAGAATCATAATTCATTTTGACGTGCACAAGAAAATATTCATTGGAAATTTGAACAATGATTATATGAAATAGTATCGATGTGTGAATCATTGCTATATCTTGATCATATGGAATTTTCATAGATATTGTTGTAACCAGTGGATCAGCTCTTGTTTGTAAAGCAATAAAATGAACGAGAAGAGAACGAGGAATTTCAATTTGATGAAATGATATATGTATTGTTGATTCGAATATTTCACAAGTTTGACCTGCAAATTTCGATGGACATAAACATTGAAAAGAATTTATTGATATACGTTGATCATCAGGAATACATAGACCATTATTTTTACAAAGTTCTTTTTGACAGATAGATGGAAGTCGACAACGTTGTCCATATTTTCTAAGTGAACAGAGACAGATTGACCGATTATTCATGTGATCAAGACATATCGAATCTAATGAACAATCACATTTATATGATATTGTACAATTAACACCAGACCAGCCAGAATTACAATGACAAAAATATTGACTTCGATTATTAACATATGTTAAACATTGGCCATGATCACAAAATATTGGACAATTATTAACAAAAGAAACTGCATCAACAGGAATCGTTAGATGAGCAGATATTTTATTTACGGGAAGGAAAAGAAATTTAACTGGCAATATCCAACTAGCATGATAAGATATATTTATTTTGTTGTAAGCATCGATTTGAATATTATAAGTTTTTGTCATATCTTTTGGTCGTGATTTATAAAGAAGATAAATAAAAAATTTATGTTCACATTGATATATAGTCGTATATGTTATTTGTTCATAATCATGAATGATCTTATCTTGATCGATCAAAGTAATAATAATACCAAATACTCCTTGACAATTCGCCTCGCACATCCGAGAAAACTTAAGTATTAAACTAACACGTTGACTTTGAAATTGACATTGATCTCCATAATAACTTGGAGGACAAAGACAATGCATTGTCATTGGAACTCCAACATAAATCCCAATCCCACGCTTACATGTATCAATTCGATCAATACCGAATTGTTTGTTTAATATCGTATTTTCTTGATTTGTAATCAACTTATTTAACGAATTTGATTGCTCAAAAAATGTTTCCAAATCAGACATTGATTGACTGGGATTCAAGAGAAAATTTCTCTTCATGATTAATGAAGACATATTCGTCTGTGGACGTTCAAGCATAAAATGTTCATACTCAGGAAATTGAAGTTTTTTATCTTGATCTAGACGATAGATAATATCGTCTACATCTTTTGAGCAGGTATCGAAGTTGTCGTGTTGACATATAT